GCAAGCATCATCACTAGCAGCATAGCCTCATCACTAGCATCACAAGCATCATCACTAGCATCAGAGCCTCATCGCAAGAATCACAAGCATCATCACTAGCATCACAGCCTCATCACTAGCATCACAAGCATCATCACTAGCATCACAGCCTCATCACTAGCATCACATCTTCATCACAAGCATCATCACTAGCATCACAGCCTCATCGCAAGCATCATCACTAGCATCACAACCTCACTACAAGCATCATCACAATCTCACATTCCATTACTGAACCATCTCCATTAGCTCTAAGTTGTATAGGGCATTTGCGTAAACCTCTCGAGGGCATGATAATCTTGGAGGTAGTTGCCCAAGCCCCTCAAGCCTTTCCTTGTTTACATGGGGTATTTTATACCCATTGCCCCCTACATGGTTCACGATCTCAATCATGCACGTTTGTAGAGTTAGGAAAATTCTGTTGAGCTTGTAAACATCATAGCCTTCAAATTCCTCCAAAACACCCTTAATAAGGTCTTGTAGTGTTTTATGACTCAGACAATTTGTCGGGGATTGGAGCAAGTTGAAAAACCCAAGGTCAAGCACATTCAAATGAGGACTGTTGGGAGGTTGTTGTATTATTCTGATGTCAAGTCCAGTTTTTGCGACAGCTTCTGGAAATTCTGGGTCATCTGGCAAGATATGGGGCTTAGCATTATCCTGCTAAATGTAGATGGTCTGTCAAGCATCACCTTTGGGCCAAACAGATTGTATTGCTGGCAAGACCTTCTCTATCATGAACTCCCTCATCACTTTTCTGTCGACCTTTATTGATTTTGTCTCTATTGTACCTTTGGGCCTGTTGCCGCTTCTCCTTTGAGTAGGAACTTCTTTCACGAATGGCCAGATACCGATTTTCCTAGAGAAGGTCACATTTCCTTCAGTGTCCCACCTCGGCCTAGCAACGGCCATCAAGAACATCACCATGCCAATACAATTTCCATGTATAGGCCTTTTGGCTCTATCTCCCCATCCAGCAGATAATGTTGGGGAACGCGGTAATTTCA